TGTGTGTGTGTGTGTGTGTGTGTGTGTGTGTGCACGCATGTCTGCATGTGATTCCATTGTCAACGACCCATATTGTCAAAGATCCAGAAGGTTAACAGCCTTGCTGTTACGCCCCTGTGAAGTTTAATTAACCTGAATTATTTCAGGAATACTATGCTGCCATGACTGTAAATCACTGTGGATTAAACCTGATGATAAGTAATATTCAAAATCGTAATTTTTAAAGGGATCTATGCACTGAAACAGCAACATAAACCCTGTCTTTGCTTGGGATGAACTTAGTCACATGAGAATGACTTTAATGACAGGCAAAACAAAGAAAGTAGATTATAATTTAACAGGCTGAAGTTAATTCAGTGACTAAATATTCAGCATTACATGTCTATAACGAGACCTGCATCGCAGCACCGGATGTGGTTTAAACATGAGGACCACTCCATAATTGTGAGTCTCATAAATAATTAAGGTGTCATACCTTAGTGTGGAACTATGTGCATATCCGCCTGTCCACGCTTCAGATGTTGTCTGAATATACTGGGCATTTAACCATAAGGATTTTCGTTTATAAGTCTAGGAGATGAGGACAAGATAAAAATATGCTGTAGATGTTTTTTTCAAGCATCCAAAGGTTTATGAACTCCTGGGAGACAGTCGAGCAATGGGCAGGTAGCAACAGGAACTTCCAACCGGAAATCTGCATATTCACGTGCATGGAAGCACACAGAACTGAACAAGCGTTTCATAAAAAAAAAAAAAAACCCATCTCCTTTAAATCTGCAAAGTTGCAAGTTACCTGGAGTAAAAACATCAACCATGTGGCTAAGTAATAACATCAGACATGCTGAGCTTAAGACGTGAGGGACAATGGACCCCCGGATTCAGAAGTGCAGGTTTCACCTGGATATTACAACGGACACCGGTCCAGGGAGGCTTTGGGCAATATAGGAGGAGATGGATGTTTTCAATGGTGTTGGGGGGTTAGGGTGGGGGGGGGGGGGGGGCATAAAACTCAGCATCACGCCTAAAACGAGAAGCAGCATTAGACACAGTGTAACAGCAGTGAATTCCCTGTGAGAACATTGCGTTTGTGCAATATCCACACCACGGACACACTGATGTTTCTAAAATACTATGATTGTGGTCTTCTGAGCTTGGAAGGAAAATACAAAAAAAATAAAATAAAAAATACAGATCATGGATTGAAATTGCGTCTGTCATCAGCAGCAGAGAGCTTCGCGCAGTAGCTGCAGTGCTGCTTAGGTCTGCCCAGGAAATAACTTGATAGGATTAGACGATGTTGTATTCCTCTGTGTAGCCTCCTGTTCTTTGTATTTGATTTGATTGAAAAATATTTTCACAGCGCAGATGTGAGCCACTTTATGCCTCTCTTGCTCTTTTCATGAAGCAAAGACAGAGGTCCGTATCCAAAAATACGAACAGGGGATATTTTCGGAACGACGTTATTAAGACTCATTCTTCCTGCTTGAGCAATAACGTTGTATTTTCGTCCCACATTGCAACTTCTGGTTTTGGCCATCATCTCAAATCATCCGGTCCGGTCCTACGGCCGTCATATGAGCTCTCAACAGCAGGCCGGGGTCACAGGGTCAGGAGCAATTGGAACGTGAGCACGTGACCAGAGAGCGGAGGCCCCTTTCCTCAGCAGGGAACTGGAGCAAGCTGCCTCACTAATATGTTTCATTATGCAAAGACAGGATGTTTACAGGCTCACGGGCCAATCCTGTCATAAATAAGTATAAATTAGTTTCGTTTCTGTTGTAGCGTCGCCGCGCTTTGTGTGAGGCCGTGGTTTAACAGAGATTTACTTATTCGCTGAGTTCTTGGCTGCATCGACATGGCTAATCGAAAAAATGTTTGCTTGTTCTTTTTGATAATAAAAGCGAAATCTTACAATTGTGCGAATAGTGGACAAAATGGACTGTTGGTTCATTTTTTTGATTTACACGCGTACCAGCAGCATTCTGCGTTCGTTGATTAAATATTGAAATAATTGAAATAATTTATGGATTTAAATTAAAGATTGGATAACGACCCACATAAAATGTCTCGCCACGTTCTGAGAAGAAGCAAGTTGTGAGTATCCCTGTAGTCCAACAGCGAGAGCCAAGGAAACAGTTAAACGACCCAGTAAATACCCTGCAGAGGGTGAATTCCTGTTTGTTTGGCCAAGCTGTTTGCATAACAACCTGGTGAGAAATTTCCATTTGGAGTAGCGTGGTTCCAAGGTATTGAGAGGAAAGACGGCAGTCTGCGCTGGGAGCGCTGGGGGAGGGGCGAGGCTGGGGACGCATGCGGCGGATCAGGTACGAGGTCTCTCCTCTCCACCCCTCTTTGTTTATGTAAAGGCCTCCCCCTTTTGTGGGGATCAGGCAGCTAAAGACCTCGGGACTGTGTTGCGGATTCCATCACAGCCGTTCAGATTCTCGGCAGAGTTTCATAACCGTAAGGTCAATATCAACAAAGTCACATGGTGAGTCAAACTGAATCATTCCTCCTGTTCTATTCTATGTTCTGCATAATCATTGCTGTACACACACACACACACGCACACACACTCACACACGTATTCATATCTTTGTGGGGACTCCCCATTCATTTCCATGGCTATTACCCTAATCCCAGCAATGACAACCTTAACCCCCACCCAGCCCTAACCTTAACCATAAGTAATCAAACAAAACGCAAAACTTTTTGACATTTTTAGTTTTTTGATTTTTTCTTTTTCAGATTTTTGAAAAAAATGGGTTTCCCCTTGTGGGAAGTAAAAACTGGTCACCACAATGTGAAAATGACAGGTATTTCATCACATTGTGGGGACATTTGGTAATGTGATACATACATAACCCACACACACACAAACACACATGCACACTCAAACAAAAACAGAACATTTTGTGTGGGACCAACTCTGTTGTAACATAGCATCGTCTTTAAAAAAAATCACATTATTAAGGAATTGTATAAAGTTACCGTTGCTGGTTAGGTGGGGTGCCGCGTCCCCCCCCCCTGGATTCCTGAATTTCTCTTGGGAGTTTTTGTTTCCTCTCCCCGTTTTGCCCTGTGGCTTTTTCTCATACTAATTTCCTGAAATTTTATAACATTAATTGCTTAAAATGAGCTTGTATAACATTAATTTTTCATCAGTCCATTTGAATTATTGCTGCCTATCATTAATTGGTTTTAAGTCTGTTTGAGATTTTGTTGCTACCTTCTGTGGATTTGAGTGATGCATGAATTACGTGAGACAAAAAAATAATAAAAATGCAATTTTACCAAATTTTAGATATCAAAGAAATTCCTGAGATACCAGGAGGGTAGGTGCAGTTTGTCTGCTACAAGACGTTGAGGTCTGTTTCCCATATCCAGCTGAGTCTCCAGTGATACATGTTTCTTCCAAAGATAAATTAGAGAACTGAGAATGGAAAACAATGTAGAATTTATTCTTGTTTCAGGAACCCTGGTTAAATAAAGTTAAATTAACAGAAGTAGCACACACACAAGTAGCACACATTCAGTCCAGCTTCTGTAATGAATGGACAGTGAACGTTATGTCGACATATTACCCCAGACAGACGCCTGACGCAGCACTGCATTTCCCATCCAGTTAGCAGTGCTGGCTTTCATTCCTTTGAAGTCCTACTGCAACTGAAACAACAGCAAGCCACCTGTGCAGTGCGGGCACTTTCCAAATCAATTTGGATGCGGCATGGTGATATTTTATTCATTACGGAGAAGTGATTTAATTAAAGCAGTGTTTTAGACGTGCTTCAGTTCAGGATTAGTAGGCGCACAGTGAGACATGAAAGACTGTGACATGCATTTTCCATGGCTCTCAAAGGATATGCATTTATAATATATTCTGCTTCCTTTCTTGTAAAGAAGTATATATAAATATAAATTATATATGGCTAGTTCTATGGTAACAGAATTACAATGGAATCTGGCTACGATTTGAAAAGAACTAACTTGCTTTGCTTGAAATACCATCAGAACTCTGCTGTTGAATCCCAACTATCAAATTATGCTGCATAATGAGTTATACCCTTTACCCAATTCATGACATTTTAGTAAGGGGTACCTCTGTTCCACAATATATAGAATATATCTTCACCTTATCAATTCAATTTAACAATTATTAGCTAAATATAAATTATTAGCCATTAGAATTCTTGGAGTCCATTTTGAGATACTTTTTTATAATTATATACCTTGAAATTAAACACTGCAAGCCCAATTTTCCCATATTGATATGACGTGGAGGCTTACTTAACTCTGCCAAAAATAGCATGCAGTGATTTTTCTTTTTCTTTCTACATACCAACATTGTCATTTAATCATGACAGCAGAGGATGCTGTCAGGACTATGGGGAAGACAAAGAAGGAATCTCACCCACACCACATTAACCAGAATGCGTGACCTGGGAGAATTGTGAAATTCTGGGCCAAACATCTGTTGTCTTGGATGGTTGATGTCTTAAGCAAAGACTTCACAGCACATTCCGTGCTGCCTGCTAAGGACACATTTATACTACAATGTTGCGCTGAAAATAACTTTTTGCTTTTTTAAATATAGCAGATAGAGAGATATGCCAGTGACCGTACAGTGTACAGGCAGTACCAGATAACGGATGAGATCCATTCCCTGGGCGGGGCTGTAAGTCGAATTTATAGGTAAGTCTGAGCAATACATGATGACGGTACATATCAACCTGAAAACAACAACAACAGCAATAATAATAATTGTTGTCATTGTTGTTTTACAGTAATAATAAAAGTAACTATGCATGGTACTGTGCTGTACCTTGTACCTTGAGCCTATGAATGCTTTCATGAGCGCCAGAAAGTAGCGCTTAAGCTCATTACTAACAACGATTGTATTTAACTGAAAATTTTGTATATAAGCCAATATGGCAGTCTGTATGTAAGTAAAAGTTGTGCGTAACTCAGGCCTTCTTAACCCAGAGGATGTATTAATAAATGCAGTCTTTAAGTTATTACTTTGTTCCCAGTGATGCTTTCAACTGCAAACAAATCACATGCAAACAATAAGGTGTCTGAATCTAATTTCATTGTGGTTTACGCTGAGGTGCCACACGCATCAACATGAATTTTCAGTACAAGGCCGTACAAGACAGGCCTGTCATGACAACATGAAAAATTTCAATAACTTCTTGACGATATCTAATACAACACAAATGAAAAGTGATTATTCAAGATTAATTAAATTTGGTGCTCAGGTCTCTCCTGCTATTTAGTGACGTGGATGCATGTCATTTGAATTCAGTAAGAAGATTAAGGACTCTTTGCATTAAATTTAGCTACATAATAATTAGCCACTCGATTAGAGCAGTGTAGGCTATTCTCCCATACTTATCTGTCTTGTCTCTCACATGTTGCCAGGCAACCATAGCAAAAAATTATGACAAATGTTTATAGCCATAAAACTTACAGGGTGATTCACCCTTGCCTCACAGACACACACACAGCTAATGATGAGTGAACAGCATTTCTATAGGATGCTTATTATGTTGTAACATGACTGAATCTACAAAGCTTCACATTGTGACAGAAAGGACCACAGATGGCTTACATTTATTAAATAAACCTTCATATATTTGCATACCACAAATACACTAGGCTACGTTAAGGTCTTGCAATTTGGACGGAATTTGTAGTTTGCGTGTTCTCTGATTGAAAATTTTTATTGGAATAAGTGTTTAGTAATAGACTATGTAAATACACAAATATTAGTCTGAAGTAGTATTTGTAATGAGTTGAATATAATTATAACACAGGAGATGAGCTGGTGGGGGTGGTGGTAGTGTGTGTGTGTGTGTGGGGAGGGGGGCTGACTGAAGACAATTTCTTTCAGAGATAGAATGCATGGAAACGTTCTGTATACTCATCATAAACATGTTTACAGAGTTACCTCACAGAAACTGTCCCTCTTGAGGGGGTCCAGGACTGGGAGCACGTGCCGGGGGTCAAAAGGTGAGCCCAAAATTCTTGTAAAGTCAAGGAACTTTTCATGGTCCCATGAAACATTTGGGCCTTCTGAGGCAACAAATCTTGGTTTATGGGGACGCAGGAGTTCTGTGACAATACTGGCGTGAAAACGGCTTTCAAAACAATTAAAGGTGATTGAAGGTCTTCCCCCAGTGAAAAACAAACCTGGCAATGCAAAGAAGTCTTATCTGCTGGTGGGTGGACATTGAACACTGTGCTTCAGAACATATGTAGCAAGGCACCTCTAATATGCTCCGGGTTCACACCAGCTTGGGCTCCCAGTGGTGTTCTCGCTCGTCTATGTCAGACGCAGAGCTGAGAAGACGTTCCAGCACTTTAGCCCCAGGACTGCGACGTACTTGTTAATTATTTTGTGTGAGATTTCAGATGTTTCACTCTCATCCTAACACACCTCCCCCAAACACACACGGTAACGCTACAGCCAAAAGCCAAACCTTTACCTTAGGATTTGTTAACTCTGCAAGCACCAAAACCATATTATTATTATTATTATTATTATTATTATTATATACAGAATATATAACAAACCAAAAATTAAGATGGATAGCTAAAGCAAAATAAACTCTTGCAGAAGTACTTGGATTAGCACTTCCAGGATTATATTCTTATTAAAAAAAATAAATAAATAAAAGTAAATCTAAAAAAAACTATATTGCTTGCTAACAGAGTTTTTTAGAGTGATAGTATTCTTAGTTGGGTTCTGTTGAACCAGTACCAGAATGGATTCACTGATGAGTCCTAAGCACTTACGTAAGTCGCTCTGGCTAAAGGCGTCTGCCAAATGCTGTAAATGTAAATGCAAATGAATGTAAAACCAAGGATAAGACACAGGACGCCGAATTATTATGGATATTCTTGTGCAAAATTAAAAAACAAACAAACAAACAAGTGAATAAATGACACATTAACGTGAACTGCTTCACCGCTGAAAAATTGCACGCCGTGTGTTGTGACTGGTACCGATTCACGTGGGACGGGATTGAAAGCCACTGGCCATCGCTGACAGCCGAGGCTTGTTGACACCAACCATTTTCACTTTCAGTTCATTGATATCCCAGCCATACTTTGCTTTTTGCTGCTTTCCTAATAAGAAACAATAAATGGAAATGAGGCACATGTGAATTAGGGTAACTGTCTTATTTTCTTGTTTGGAAACAGCTTGTATATTCAAGTGTGTCAAGCCGCAGTATTGTTATTAAAACAAACAGACGCACCATGTTTTTGCCCCAGGCGAAGGACGTAATCAGTCAGCTGTTTATTTACATCTTAACTCTGTAGCCACTGCCGACTGCGGCTCCTGTGATTTAACACGAGGGTCCAGTGTGGCCCTATTATATTGTCTATAATCTAAACACAGTCCAAACTAGTCTGAATTGATATTCCAAGTGAATACATCAATTTAAAACAGGCTGGCGTCAGACCCCCTCGGGCCCTTACTGCTGCAGAGAGCTGGGTCAAGTCCTCGTGATCCCCAAGGTCACAGGGAAAAACAAGCTTTAATCATGCTCTCTTTTAAAGACTACATTTCAGTAAAAGGTGGCTGCTTCCCCCCCCCCTCCCCCACACCATTTTAAGATTCACTCTGACATCTCAGCATGCCCCAATGATACTCGCTCAATCTCCCTGGAAAGCAATCAGTCTCCAAAAGGGGTTTGTTCCCCCCCCCCCCCCACCGCCTTGCCCCTCCCCGCCCCCCCACTCTGTGCCTCACACACCACATTTGGAAACATGTTTATTTGGTGAGATTTTACACCTCAGATCCAAATGGAGCTCTGAAAAAAGGTGCTATCCCTTTAACTGGGCTTCAGCAGCTGTCTGGCTTATGTGTATGGGGGGTGGGGGGTGGGGGGTGGGGGTGGTTGCTGAGGGCGATGGTGTGAGGCTCTTGTTTTTCCTACTCCAGTGTTTCTGATCAGGCCTGGCTTCACGCCGACTACACGCCAAAGTCGGAGGCAGTTTGCTGGCGTTCTCCTCTAACACCACCTTGTATTCGCCGTATTGCTGTTTGTTTTCAACCAGAGGTCCTCTTTTTAATTCTGTTCCATAGACGCGCCTCGCCCACCCACCATACAGATAGACTCGGTGCGGCCAGGCCACGTGACGCCTTGCCTTCATCACCTTTGGACCCTCGAAGGCTGCCTGTCTCATGATGAGTTGCAAAGGTCATCTGCCCTGGCCACCTCAGGACCCAGGCTCCGCCCCTTTGTGGCGAAATCGGTGGAACGGTAACTTTGACCCACCCTTCCACGGTGGCCCCGTGCCCTGAGTTTGGTTTCGGAAATGTGCGAAACGCCTTGTCCAATATACCAGCAAATCATTACACTTTTAGCCACCATAAGAACATGGCAAACAGCTAGAGCTGGTAAAACATGTGACTCTTGCAGTCAGTTACACTTATATCTTTGTATTTATACATGTGACAGTTTTCAAAGAATTGATTAAGCAATGTTGTTGGAAAACAAATGAAAGTTAGGTTATGGTGTTTAAGAACACCTATAACAATGATGACTTTCTTTAGTATATATTATTGTTATTATTATTTCATGCCGAATATATAACAAACCCAAGCAAAATTAAAACAGAAAGGAAATTACCTTAACGGATCAGACTGAGGGATGTATGCAGAAAACATGTTGTGCCTAAACAGTGAAACACAACACACCTTAGCACACTGTCCTATAGAAGCATCCATCCATCCATCCATCATCCATCCATCCAACTTTCGGTATGCAACACTCCTGTCTAGTGATGTGGATAGAGATCTAAAAAAGTCACAACATATTGATTTTTAACTATTAATAGCATTTGTAAATGTTACTTTTTTATATAATGACAATAATTTAATATTTTCATATTTTATTATTTGCAGTATGTGGGTGAATCGCTTCAGGCTTTTGTAAACTTTGAGCTTTAAGGATACAAAATGAGTTTATGCTGATGATTGAATTACTGACAGCTGGATACTTGACATGTAATATTTAAAGTAGCATGCAATATTTATAGTTTTTATATGTTGGGATTAGCAATGAATTTCAACTAGATGAGACTGTTGAACTTGAATTGCTGTTTTACCTTTGACCTGATCCAATGTCCGCATGTAACTGTAAACTCTAGTGCTCATAGAAGGGGGATCTGTTATTAATAGCAAAATCACATTTATGCAATGACCATAACTGCAAGGCAGAGAGCCTCAAAACAATATTGCAGAGCTGTATTGCACTATACCGCCTGACCCTTCAAATAAGGAAGCCAGTTTGATCACCATTTGTGTCCGTGGACATCCCCAAAGACAACCTTTGTGTTTCAGCAGGGTTTACAGGGGAATTTATAGAAAATAGTCACACAAACGGGGATTGGATTCACACTATACTACATATCGCCTTAGACCATTACTAGTATATCAGAAACCAGAGTAATGCCGTGTTTGTTTAGTCTTTACTCAAATAAATTACAACTGCCTGATGTTTTTGTTTTTTTTCCCCAAAGCTATATTAATAGATACAAATGTCATGTCAAACAGTTTTTACTCCAGTGGATAGTAGCTTTAGACTGGAAAAAGTAACACTAATCAATACATAAGTGAAAATAATACAAACTGTTGAACAATTAATTTTACTGCGATTAAGAGTAATCTAATGCAGATTTTGCATAAACCTACTGTCTTCTCTCTCTGTTGAATATCAAACAACTCAGTTTGGAGACAGAACATCAATGTACTCAATGTACCTTAGTACTGGAAAATGGACGTGACATCAATAGGTGTTCACTCAGTTCACTCCAGTGAAATTAATGGAGTGCCACATGATTCTATCTCTGGGCCATTACTTTTAGTAATATGTATGAATAACACAAACTCCGTCGTACTTAATAAAGATGATCAAATATGCAGGGAATTTGTGGGTGGCTTACAATAACCGTAGGTGGTATGTCAACATGACAATAGAGAATTCTGAAATTGCACTGTAACAGGTTTTAGACAAACGAGACAGATATACAGAACATTTATTATTATTATTTTTTTTTTTTGTACTTTTTTATTATGAATGAGTTTTATTAACATGTACCATCAAACCAAATCATCTCCTGGCAACTGGACAGACAGCATTTCACCAGAATATCCTGTCCTCTTTGTAGGTCATCAAGCTCCCCAATGAAAAGTAGTGTTGTGATTATTGAGTACATCCATGATATTGCACACTGTCCACCTCCTGTCTTAACTCCAACTCTTCCAATCATCACGGCCCTCTCTGTGTCCTGCGATGGGTTGGCGCCCCATCCTGGGTCGTTCCCTGCCTTGTGCCTATAATCTCTGTGATAGGGTCCGGACCCCCTACGACCGGGAATAAGATAAGCAGTTGCAGAAAATGGACGAGCGATCAATGACAAGCTCTCTTGTTATTTTGTGGTCCCTTATATTGTTAAAAAAAGCCAGAACCAAAGGAATCACCATTCTGACCGACTCTGATCTCAGTCATCAGAAAGATATTTTTATTGTGCTGATTTATAGGTACGACTGCAGGTCCTGCTAGAATAGACTATGCTGGCTAAGTGTCTACCATCCAGGCCATTCTTTCCATTAACTCAAACAAAATTCTACAAGCAAAACAAGAAGACAGTGGTGCTATATTTAATGCTTCTCATATTCTTAAATTAAAGAGGATTTTGATATGTATCTGATACTTATTCAGCTTCAATCTGAAAGAAAAATCCATAGCTCTGAGGCACCCATCTTCCCAGGCTTTTCCTACATAGTTAAATTATTCTCTCCTGATCTTTTGGCACACTGCAGAACCCTATTAAGAGTTAATTCCTGTCCCTCATAAATCTGACTTATTACAACTCAATCTGGAGAGGGGACACACTCAAGGTTTTCTGTGACGCATGGCTCTGCATTACGTACCAACAATCTTAAGGGCTGGAAATTAACGAGGGACGATATGAAGGGTGTCCATGAATAGAATGTGCTTGTCTTTTAAACACATAATCAGATACTGGTGCCGTGAAAGTCAGATTAAGTGTGTACTCTAAGTCCCCAGTACTACAAATACAAGTTTTAAAAACAACATGGCTCTAGCCCGGCTAGTCTTTGGCCTCCTAATGATACAGGCGCAGAAAATTCTGCTTTAATTATCAATCAGAGGAGGATTTACCTGCAAATTTCTACTCTGGTATCAAAGCCATATTTATTAGCTTTATAAGAGGTATCCAATTTTTAATTTGTAAATGGTCTATTCTGATAGAGGTGACCCTTCATTTTTGACACTAGATTGACTTTTCAGTTTTCTAAGAGAAATCTCGATTATATGTCAGCCGAGTACATTGTGTTCACTCTGCTATTGATTGTTGAGGAACAAATGAGAGATGTGATGTATTATTATTGGTGGTAAATAGAAACTGTAGAGAGAATGAGAATTGAATGCTTGGCCGTACGCTGGTCCCTAATGAACCCTTTGAAAACTGTGAAAAGAAGACAGGATTTGTTCATTAGAGTTTTTTACAGCAAGTCCAGCCCTCGTGAGTGCTTCTTAAGGGCAAATGATACAGCTGACAGAGAAGCGGAGTTTAGCGTAAGTGCCTTGAATTGAAATGCAGCACATGGAGGAAACAACATCTTTAACAGTAATCTCTAGAGATGTTTTTTTCCATTGTAAAAACCTGATTTTCAGTTAAAGAAAATGGATCTATAGGATTTTTCGAGGAAGGAGCATAGCTGGCTAACTGGCACCACTGGAATGGTCATAGTGTGCGACTGTTTTTGTGTGTGTCCTGTGTATCTCATAGATGTACCTCGGCCTTGGGCACTGTGCTGTCTGGGGTTGGTTCCAGGCTCCACTACAACCATGACCAGGATAAGCAGTTGGAAGATGGATGGATGGAACGGGGAAGATTTACTTGAGTCCTCTCATGGTGTAATGGGTCAGTGATTGGAACACGATACTCTAATTTAAACGAGCAAAACCATAGAGCCTCAGGAATCAGGCCATTGCCCCGGTCTCCCTCTCTCACGCACAGGAGGAACTTACTTTATACCATCATCCATTAGTTACAAGTGTGCAACTGGGCCCCTCCCCCGAAACATCCACACCCCCCCTTGCATTTCGCAGTCACCTACCGTTTTATGGTCAGCAGAAAGATAAGGAGGCTTTCTCTAGCTTCTCACGGAGTACCACATCATTATAAAGATAGCCTGTGCCCAATCCATGTTATTAAACTGCATAGGGCATCTGAATTGTATACAGAATTATTAGTTTCTGTGTGTCCACCTCTTGCTTTGCATCTATTTAACACGATGTGTAGCAGAGAATGACTTTGAAAAGGGCCGCCATTGTCCATTCAGGGCTATAGTCTGCAGCCGCATGCCGTTCAAAACAACTTGGAGATTTCAGCCGGCAGAAAACGTTTGAGGGACACAGACTCACGACGCGCTTTGTGAGTCATACGGGCGCAGACGGGGACTCGGAGTGGGAAAGTAGAACTGGCATATAGCCTGGTACTTCAAGGGAATGTCAACGAGCTGGGTGGGCACCTGCTGTTAGATGGACTGCATAGAAAACAAGCCAGCTCTGTGTGGCCACTCTGCACGGTCAGCAAAGTTCAAAGTCAGCAAAAAAATTTTCCCTTCCTCATTTGAAAATCCCTGGTATGTCAGGGGCCAGATATTCCTCCAGTCAATTAAAATTGGCCCAAGCATTGAAAAAAAAAACGATCTGTAAGAGGCAAAAGATGAGAAATACATTAATAAATTACTCAGTAATAGGTGTAAAAATAGCTATTCCCCGCAATGCGTTTATTTACGCTTTTATTCACGGTTTTGCTGTTGACGTGGTTTCGGCCTGCAGGTGTCGACACCAGTGCAATGAGCTGACTGGGATCAAAGCTATTTCCCTATTGCTGACTTTGGACCTTCTCAGAACTTAACCTTGCTGTGGTGTTCGGGTCGGCGCCGACCCGTTTAACATAAGAGAAAGGAACAGAAAGGTAACAAGGGTTAAAACAAGGTGCTTTGACTGGCCAAATATTTCTGTGATCAAATGTGTTGATTCATATTAAACAGGAACAGGAACAGAAACTGGAAATATTATTAAATATTGCCCAGAAAGGGGCGGCATGATGGTCGGTGGTTGGCACTGTTGCCTCACAGCTCTGGAGACCAGGGATCTCCGGTTTCATGCCACGGTCCAGAAAACACACTAAGGTGCATTGGCATTGCCAAATTGACTGAGGGTGTGAATGGTGTAAGTGCCATCTCATGGGTGGGTGGGCCCATAGTGGGTTATTCCCTGCCTTGCATCCAATGTTTCTGGATAGGCTCCGGAACCATAGATGGATGGATGAATTGTATAGTAGGTAAAGGGATGTTACCTACTCTGCAACATGAATGATAAATGAAACAAATTAGAAACATAATTGGGAACTACTACTAGTATCATCACAAGGACCGTCGTTGCATACCTGCAACGGAAAACAATAGCGGGACAATAAAAAAACAGCATGATGGATGATAAGAGGCTGTAACAGGGTCTTATATTGAACAATAATATGCTAATAATACCCAGCGAGAGGATTCTGCATGCAACAACAGGACCAGCTTTGGAATCTGCCTCCCATACATTTGCCACAGATGGCGAATAAACATAACAAGCAATTATTACCAGGGTTAATAACAAAAGTGATTCCTTGTAAAGTGTTCCCAGTTACTTTATTGGGTTTTTTTTCCCCCCCACTGTGGCCAGAAATCCAGCATTCTGAACGGCTGCTTCCCAGCCTAGTGCTACATTATAAAAGTTGGAAATGCAGTTTGCATGGAAAACGATAAAACAGCTTGTTTTTGAAACTAGTCAAGGATGTGATGGCTGAAGCGCTAACAGACACTGTTGATTTGCTGTCACTGGGGCTGCTGTCTGACTCGGAGGTGCCCTTCAATCTCATATTTGTTTACTTCTTCGGCTGGACCGATTTGCAGCGCCTGGTATGATCAGTGTCCAGGCGCTTAGATACACACAGACCAGGACAGACATGGCAGATAGTAACTCGTCCTTCCTTGCTGGCATTGGGGGTGGGGGTTGGGGTTGGGGTTGGGGGGGAGGGGGGGGGTCCATGTTACTCCATCACTGCTTCTCCACAGTTATGTTCATGCCTCTGAACAAAACTCCTTAATGCCATTTGTTTTTCTGAGTACTAAATCGCTTTACCTACTTTTGTCATCTCTGCTTACAAATTCCCCTTCCATCTATCAGAAACCATGCTTAGGGGAGGTCTTACAAGTCACATTAAACAAATATTTTCCTGTCGCATCAGCAAACATCTCCAAGAAATATCCGAGGCGCTTTAACGATTCGGGT